GTTTCTGTCATTTTCACCGAATGAAAAAAAAAAAAAAAATTAAAATAAATTGTCTGTAAGAGGTCTATTGTTTGGCATGTAGTTGTACATTTTGTTTGTTGGGATTGTTTTGCATGCCCTCCCCCCCCCCCCCCCAACTCCGTTCTACGAGGATTCTGTCGACTACACTGTATGTGTCCTGTAATTGATGGTTTGTAATATGTATGTGTACTCTACGGTATACTGGCCAAATTATTCCTCTCGACGCTGTCACTTGGGTGGGGACGGGGGAGTTTTAGGGTTCACGATGAAGATCAGAGGGGCGTTCCTCTCTGACTGTTCCAATGTAGTTCACGCTTGTGTCGTGTTGTTCTGTCTAGTTGTCAACAACCCATCATCCCTCTTCAGCTCAGTCTTCTCTCGCGGCTCTTGACGTGCCGAACCGTTCAATTTATAAGAGGGCAGAGGGTCCACGTGGTTAGTCGGACAACTTCCATCCGATTAGTCGATTGCCGGTGGTGGACGCACCGAGTGTGTGTGTGTGTGTGTGTGTTGTGCCTCCTCCCTTTTTTAGAGATGTGGTGTTATGTGGTATTGCTGGTCCCCAGCATTTCGGGTCTCATGTGACCGGGTCAGTGGACCTCCTTCAGCGGCTGTGGCTGACAACGCAGCCGGCCTGAGAGGACGACATCACAAACCAGCCGCTGATAACCCTCAGCCAACTCGCAACCCTCCGATAGCGCGTTTCGCGCGACCTACAACACTCGTGAATACTCTTACGCGATAACCCAGACACACACCCAAACAAACCCCCACACACTCACCGGTTATTGAGAGATGGCGTCCGCGACCAAGTACCCCACCATCACGTACGTTACGACTTATCTTCTCTCAAACCGTTGTCATGAGGCCCTTGTCTCTGGGCTTCATATACGCTCTCTTCTTATCGCTCGCGCGCCCATATTATTATCGCTTCTCGCTTGTTTAGTAACGAAAGAGATAAGTGCAAGCAGCAGCAGGTACACTTTCTGTCTATCCCTACTTATCGATCATTACCCAGACATAATTCTAGGCTCACTACCTCACTTATGTTGGCATGCAACCAAACAAGACACACCCCCACACACACACAGGTAGAACATTAATGAGGTAAAACAACAATGGAGGGAGTGAAGGCAATTACGAAGAGTACGTGACTAAGGCAGATCAGACATTGTACAGAGTATACGTCACGAAATAAGGAAACAAACAAGAGCTGCATACAGGACCACCCACCCACCCAGAACGGGCTGCCGCTCACCACAGTTGTTCTTTTCCGCCACTCCAGCGTCACATCTATTACTGCGCGCCTCCGACACGCCCACCGTGTGGTGCCGCGCCTTATATATCCGCCACAGGCTGCGCACAAGAGCCACACAGACAGACGGCATGAACCGTACAATCGCCCCGGACCTCAAAACGACCCCCCGACCACACCAACAAAACCACACCAGACCCGGAACCTCGTACCACACGAAACTAGGACAAGGCCCTCCAACAACACCACCA